GTTTAGACCCGGCAAGGTGTTTGTCTTACCGACATGTCTGTGGTGTTTACTACCTAACAATACACAGCCTTCAGCAGCTGGGTTATCACCCCTCTCAGAGGGGAAACAGCACAGACACACGAGTGAGTGGCCGTGTGGGACTGGAACCCTGGCCCTGTGGCTCCCGGGTCCGTGGTCTGCGGTCCCGTGTCACAAGACATGCCCGTTTCAATGGCTCTCACGGGCTCTTAATCTCAGTCTGGAGCTGTGGGAATCACTGCTCCCCTGGTGAGTGCACAGACACAATTCTTTTTGGTGTCCTCATTTTGGGGGAAGGGAGGGAATGAAGAACTAAATGTAAGGCATGGCTGACAGGCACCGCAGGAACCTAAAGGACACGGCTGGGCTAACATCCACCCCCTGAAAGGCGAGGCGGGGGTTTCCACTCCCCATCCAGGACCCGGGTGGTTAAATACTGTGGGGCCGCCCGGCTTAGGTGCACTGTGACCACACATGTGCCTGCTGGTGGCAGCTCTGATAAGGAACCAGAGATAAGGGGGCCTGGACAATGGGGCAGGCTCACTTCCCAAACTCAGAAACAAACACATCCACCCCCACCCCAACCCTGGGGCCCCCCCGAGGCTGAGCTGGGCTGTGTAAGCAGCTGTTTTGTTCCTCCCTCTGCTATGACAATGTGTTTTGTAATCTAAGGCCTGTCTGTCACGGTGGCTGATCATTCTTAGGTTTAACAGAAATAAGACTTTCTGGTTTCAAAAGGTAAAAAGCACCAGGAGTTGATGTTTTTACCGTCCGACGTTTTTGAAAGTGACCAAAGGCTGTGTCATTCCGGAGGCCGTTTCTGGAGACCCCAAGATAACGTGTCTGTCTAGTGAGCATTGGTATCGAACACACGATGCTACCAAGGTAATGTTGTTGTTAAATGTCTGGCCTTAAAAGAGGAAGACAGAACGAATGGTTCCAATCATGACAACGGACACTTGCAGGCATTCTGTAGTTTTTAGGGGCCTTGACTAACATTATCTTATTTTATCCCAAATGCTGACAGTGGTTCACCGAGCCTATCTACACTGTCATTTTGGATTTAGGTAATTCAGTCACATATATGATTTTTAAAGAGACAGGGGTATAGCACACAAACGGGCCTCATAGTTATCTGAATTTCTCCCTCGCTTTGTGCTAAGGAGACTTACTCTCTGGTCATGGGAGGTTTGAGACAGGGCCAAGGTCGGCCCAGCCTTCCTGTCCACACTTGCAGCACATACAAACCAGGGCCGGAGTAAATGCGACTGAAGTCTTGGAATTAGCCAAGTGCCCATAAATACTTGGGAAGCACAGGAGGATGAAAGAAGTATGAACTCATGGGCAACATTATACTTGTGCGCTTGAATGGATCTCAGGATAACGTTACTATCGCTGTTTCTCCTGTAACAGCGTTGTACTTCCGTGCTTAATGGAGAATTATATAAGCACATATCAAATGGTATTGATATGAATATTCAGAAAATTAGGTCTTATATTTATAATTCTTCCTTTCGAACAGAATTCATACAGATGTTCAGTTGTTTTGTTGGGGGGTGATACAGCCAGCCAAGACCAGCCCAAACCAAAAAAAAAAAAAAGAGAGATTCTTAAGAATGTGCACCCATCCTTAGAAAGTGCGACTTTGATTTTTCTACTTTACATATATTCTGCATTGTTAAAGAAAAATTGTCTTACAACGAGGATGAATTATTTAACAAAGTAAGTTTTACTTAGCGGACACCTTTGATTGATTTATAATTATTGAATTGAACTTTCTATTTTTTTAATTGCCCTTTATATCTACTGAATCTGCCCAAGGCAAGGGAAGGGGTATGGGCCAGGAAATCGGGAGGACTGGGGTGATAATGGCTGTGTGATTAACCTCTGAGCTTCCTCTGCTTCATACCCACAGGGGTAATATCTCCATTCACCAGTCACCAATGCTGGTGACAGGATCCCACCACCCATGCGAAAGCTCCGTGAACTCAATAAAGTCAATTTCCTTCCTTCCTGCAATGTTTTAACACGATCAAAACATAATGTAAATTGTGCCCCAGATTTAGAAAAGAACGAATATTCCTACTTACGTAGGCCTCAGCTCAGAGTCTACAAAAGTGCTCAGAACACACCTTTTCAGGGAAAGGCAGCCCCAGACAGGAAATTTTTGTTGGAGAGGAGGACAGACTCTGGGAGGCTGCATTAGGCACATCTGCAACGATATTCCTAAGCCAGGAAGGCTCCAGGCAGAGAGGTTAGGGACGGGCCGCCCCTGATAAACCCACTGGCAATTCTGTGCCAATGGGCAAGCTAACAAGACTTCCTGGGGTGGGGTGGGGTGGAGCGGGAGCTTCTGACGGTCCAGTCACTCTCTACAGTACAATCTTGCTGCCCTATCTTGCCTCCCTCTGCATCCCAAACATGTGAGATGAAACACAGGGAGTGCAGTGTATGTGTACAACATGCATGTTATACTTTAGTCTGCTTACACATTTTACCACAAACCCTTGTGACAGGGTCACCGTCTACACCGCTGCACGCGAATGTACATTGCACGCCGACTGCGATTACTCACCAAACTGGTTGGCCCTGCAGTGTCTCAGGGTCCGGACGGTGTCGGCAATCATATGCTGGAAGGCAAGCAGGAAGCAGATCAGCGGGAGGGTGAATCTTGGAGCTGGACTTTAAGTGATAACACTGAGCTTGGGTTACAGAAGAGTATTTAGTCCTTGTCTGTAGAAACAGTGGCTCCCACACCCGGCTGCACAATTCTAACTGAGCCCCGGGAAAACACTACAAAGATGCAGCTCTCCGCCTGTGGCCCACCTGTCCGGCTGTGCTAAGGCTTTGGCCTCCAGGGGGCGCTTTGCCAGCCCCTTCCCCAGGAGGCCTTACTGAGCTCCCCCTGTGAACCTGGGAGGCGTTGCTCTCAACCTCCTCACTGTCCTTTGTACACTGCAATGGGCTTTGTGTTGTTGCATTTGTTGTGGAGCTTTCCCTGTAGACCAGGTCCCGCCAGCTGGCTCTGCTTGCCAGCGTCTACCAGCTGTCATGCACGTTGACTCCCTCCACCTGCTGGATGGAGGTTGGCATTTTTGTGGAATCAAAGGTTCATGTGTCTCAACTGGTGAGAGGAAGGGAGGCAATCACGAAAGACAAACGTTTTCTAGAACCTCCAGATCTTCACAAAAAT